GCCTGATGAAATCTTTCACAGTCGTGATGCCAACCCTCCATTAGTTACTCTGTACTGCATGTTTGACAGTGTGTAATGTTTCTATGGGTTGCTTCTTCAGAGGCTTCAAGTAGCTCTTGGACCAGAGATTTGACATATTCTTTAAAAAAGGTGAAGAGCCCTCTCTGTCCTACATCTTTGTGTATGTGCACTCTGGACACTTTCTCATTTTGATGTGCTTGTGTTACAAGTGGTTTTGAAATCTAGATCCCCTGTAGCATGTGCCCTGCCATCACCTGGATGTTTGCACACTTTGTGCTTTTGACCTCATTTTGTGTGTTCCATACAGGTGGTCCTCACCATAAAACAATAATATTTTAATTAGTTGTCTAATTTTTTTAAAGGGGTGAAAAGGGAGATGGTTGTTATTGTTAAAAGGTTACGCCTCTCGAAATGAAGAATGCAGTACTGTGGAAGAGGGGTGTGGACATAGCTACAGGTGATGGTGAAAGAGATGTGTTCTTAGGTCTGTTAGTTAAGGCTGGTGCAGCTATGGCGGACAAAACAAAAGGCAGCAGAAGAAGTCAGGATCGTTCAAGAAGCCTACTCTTGTTTTACCGTATGCATTGTTTTCGTTATAAATTGATAGTAAGCAATCTTCGCTGTCATTTAAAATAATCACCGATGGGGTGCTTTTGGTCAGTCGCCATAAGTCAGTGGATTACGAGAGCTGACCGTTTAGTGAGCAGTGGCAAACTAACGTTAGTTGCGTATCCTTTACAGGACGTTGCAGAACCAACCCCAGCAGCCCCTGGCTGTTGTGTGGTTTCTCTAGGCAAGTTACGTCCAGTAGTTTGCCATTGCTTTCTGGAGGTCGGCCCCCTGATACCACTGTCGAAACCAACGCAACGCATGGCCCGCAGCTGGGATCGAACCCGGCATTACGAAGCGTTCGTATCGACTTAGCCACAGAGCCGACAGTGGCAAACTACTGAACGTAAAATTTGCCTAGAAAAACCACAACAGCAAAAAACGCAAGGGTTGGTTCTACAGCGTCCTGTAAAGGATATGCAACTAACTGACCCACTCCCTTCATCTTTCATTCCTCCTGTTACCGATATGGAATTGCCTGTCTTTCCATTCTCGAGGCTCCCTGTCACTCACAGCCTCACTCCCCCATACCTCGCTTCAGTCGAGGTTTCAAGGCAATTCTCTACACGGCAGCAGAAAATCACTATCACGCCAGTAGTATATCTCTGTTCACGATCCCACGAGTTCTCTCTCTTGTGGATATTCAAGGGGTTTAAAAAAAATGCCGAAAGCTAGTTCTGCTAGCTAGGCCTACCGTTGATGCCCGGCTTTTGAAATGGTAGAACATTTTGGCGCCACACGATGGGGTTTCTCCTTCTCCCACAGCTTCCCCGCCGTTTTCACAACTTTCATTTAAAGTTTACGGCCTGTGTTATTCAGGCAGTAAGGAGTTAAGTTTGCGAGTGCAGTTTCACAGATATGTACATATCTGGTCGGCTCTGTGGCAAAGTCGATGTGAACGCTTCGTAATGCCGGGTTCGATGCCAGCTGCGGGCCATGTGCCTTGCGTTGGCTTCGACAGTGGTATCAAGAAAGCCGACAGTCCAGGAAGCAATGGCAAACAACTGGACCTAAATTTGCCTAGAAAAACCACACAACAGACAGGGCCTGTTGGAGTTGGTTCTGCAACGTCCTGTAAAGGATAATCAACTAACCTAAAATATAAACATATTTGGTCGAATATCATTTGGCTGATTGATCAGATGAGTCCGCAAATTCTCACTGCCTGTAGGCGAGAGTCGCGGTAGCTCACTGGCTAACCCCTTGTTTGTCAGTGAGAAAGTATTGAGCTCAAATCCTCATGGTGGGATAATTTTTTAAATAATGGGCACAAGGAAATGTCCTGCGAAAGCAGCAGGTGTCTTCTTCTTCTTTCTTCTTTGCGTTCACCAGCTGTAAACTCTGGTGGAAAGTTCTGGTTGTTCGTCCATTTCTGGACTGCAGTCCTGTTCCAGAACCTGAGTGTTGCGTGTGTATCCGTTTGACAGATCTGACACATTTTAATGTAGACTGTTGGTTTCTTGCCTCTCAGACAGATGCACTCCGACTTCGAAGGAAGCTCCCAATTAGTCGACTCTTACGACATGCTTTTGGCTAGGCAGTGGGTCTATTCTTGTTTTTCCTAAAATAGTCCCCGGAACCCACACGGGGAGCAGCGGGTGTGATGTTGGCCGCATGACTCATCGAGTGCTGATATGTCTATTCTCTACACTTAAGACAAATATGATTGTAACCCTATATGCCCGGTACGCTACTGGTGTGGAAAGGGTCATTTACTAACAACCTTCAGATGGTCTAGCGCCCTGAACAGGGTTGTGAGTCGAGTTATTAGTAGGATTATCTTTACAGCACATAAGACTCGTCCACAGGGTGCTCAGTTCCCCCTCAACATATTCATCAGCGCCGCGGTTGACTAGTGTCAGTCCTGAGCTGGTTAACGAGACTTATTGTGCGTCCAGTGTGCCTCTCATGCTTGGCTGTAACGATCTTAACTCCCAGTTGTCGTTTGCTTAGCAGTGATGTGGACACGTTGCATCCAAAATCCTCTGGACGTATCCTCTCTTCCCTAACCACCTAGGCAAAAAAAAAAGCGGGGAGAGGAGGGTTGTTGGCTTACATCTTTAAGTACAGACCCCCCCCCCCCCCCCCTCCGTAAGTTTTTAATTGGTCTAAGCTACCCTCTTTAACCACGTATAGACATTGTCTTTATATGCATGATTTAAAAGAGCATCTGAGCCCCTCCCCCATTTTGTGGGGGAAAAGGGGCCTTGAAGAACACGTTTTGTTTAAAGCAAACTAATCATAAGGGGACAGGCTTTACTGAACTCCCTCCCCGTGATTGTATATTTGACATATACCTTGCATTTCAGCTGCGTAAGCATCAATATTTGTTTGCAAACTAAATATTTAGGCAGTAGTCTTTTTTTCATAAAGTATGTAATGGAAACATCCAGCAATAAAAAAAAATAATTGTGATGCTGGTTATTGCTTTTCTGGATTGCTGTCTGTAGGATTAATACCCCCCCCCCCCCCTCCCCAATGAAAATCAGAACAGGAGAACATCCCATTCAACCGTTATGACAAGTTACATGAGGGCACCCTGATTGTTACAAGTAACCTTTAGTCCAGTGTGGGAATGGGATAACGGACTGACAGAGTGTTATAATGTTTCCTCCAAGATTACACATTCTGTAGGTTTAAGACTCAAGGATGAGAATCGGACAGGTACAAATCGCAGAAACCCCGTTCAACCGTATAGCCACACAACAGTTATATTGGGACACCACGAAACGGTAGCGAAGTAACCTGAAGTCCACTGTGGGTGGGTCTTGTAGACTGACAGGTTGTTCGCCCCAACAGTGTACACACTTTACACACACACACACACACACACACACACAGAGAGAGAGAGAGAGGCGCACATATGTATATGACATTTTGGGCAGTAAATGTATATCGTGCAGTTTCTAACAGCGCCTGTGGGACACTGCTGCGCTGCCGGTGAATATTTATAGTCTTCTATTTCTAGTGTGTGTAGCCAGCGGTATCAGGCGGGGGGAAATGGATGTCTTGTGTTACAGTCGTGGTCGTTAACTGGGCTAGGGGAGATAAACTGTGCAGACGGTGGAACACAGTGGACAATGTAGACAGCATGACAATCTTTGAACACAAGGTCCTTGGGCTTTGAGCCTAGAGATAAGTGAACCTGCTGGGGAAGAACAGAGTTGAACCGATATAAAGGTTAATATCAAAGGTTGCTGCAGGCGTAGAGCTGTGAGGTGATAAATAAGGACGTGCTGTATACAAGGCATATTTCAATATCTTGTCCCTTGAGTATACTTGGTTGAATAGTATTGGCCTAGACGTTGTCCTCCCGATCCGACAGTTATGTCCGGAAAAACATAATATTGGCTCCAGGTCGACCCAAAATATAACAATAATAGGAACTGTCATGTGAGGTGAAGACGGTCGGCGTTTTGTTGACCAGATTATCCATCTTGCGGGTCGCGACCTTTTTTTGGGAAGGGGGGGGGGTAAAACAACCCTTTCACATTGGTCGCCAAAGACATCGGAAAACACAAAACATTGGAGAACTGTATTAAAGGGAGCCACTGGCATGAAAAACTGGTGCTTGCCATAGTTGTACCAGATTTCTGGCAGGGTAACCCACTCACAGTGGACTGCCGGTTACTTTCATTACTGTTTTATGGTGGCCCAATATAACCGTGCTATAAGCTGAAACAGGGTTTCCCGGTTTTGTTGCTGTTTGTTTCTCATCCTTGAGAGGGTAATCCTACAGAGTGCAAAATATGGAGGAGGGAAACAAACAAATTGTGGACGACCTTGCTTTCCACAGAATCTGGACTTTTATAGTAATCAGTTGTGCTCTTCCTGTCTTAACGTAAGTCTGGATTTAGTAGGCTAGATTTCACACACACACACACACACACACACACACACATATATATATATATATATATATATATATATATATATATATGTGTGTGTGTGTAAGAGGCTTCTTCTGTTACTGCTAATACCACCATTACTGCTGCTGCTACTACTACTACTCGGCTTTTTATTGGTTCACCTACGGAAATCCTGATTGTTCGTCCATTTGGTCTTTGGTTTGTGCCAGGGCTTGAGATTTGCGTGTACGTCCGTTTTATTAGTGGCTTTTTGTTTTGTTCAAGCAGATGCACTCCGACTTTGAAGAAAGCCCTAGTTATTCGGCTCCTACGACATGTTTGTTGAGAAGGCAGTGGGTATATTTTTTGTTGTCCCCCCACAATGGGGCTCTGGAACCCACACGGGGAACTGCTGTAAGTGATAAATAATTTAAAATTACCACAGTATGTTTGTGAGTAAAACTCTTCACTGACCTCCTTGTACTCTGTGTTTGATGTAGTGCCATATTAATTTCCCTGCAGATCAGTTCATCAGTGGCCAACCAATGCAACACTCCCCGCAGCTGATTTCTGGATACATTACCTCTGAGGATTCTGGAAGAAAGGTAGTTTCAGCTGTTGTATTCAGATTGACGTGGCAGTACTGTTTGTGGCGTGTGCCTGTGGATATGGATTTTCTGCTGTGTAAATTGTTATTGATCTAGCATTGTTCTTGTTATTTTCTTTATGTGGTCGTGTATTCGCTGGCCGTTTTTTCAGTTAGGTCATTAGCATATCAGTGTCTTCTTTATTTTCGTGTGTATATGTGTTCAATGTTTCACTTTTTGGTTAGTCTTCTGTTTATCTCTGTAATCTTTAATCGAGTTTGTATATGTTGCGCCATTTTTTTTTTAACCATCGCTGTACAGTTTATGCTGGTAGCTTTCTCTTTATCACCATTTCCTCTATGTTGGTGTGTATGTTAGCGTGCTCTAGCCTTTCTTTTTATCACCATATCCTCTATGTTGGTGTGTATGTTAGCCTGCTCTAGCTTTCTCTTTATCACCATATCTTCTGTGTTGGTGTGTATGTTAGCGTGCTCTAGCTTTCTCTTTATCACCATATCCTCTATGTTGGTGTGTATGTTAGCGTGCTCTAGCTTTCTCTTTATCACCACTTCTATGTGCTGTTGTCTATGCTAGCGTGCTGTAGCTTTCTCTTTATTACATCTACTATGGTGTATTATTTGCTGCTCTAGTCTTTGTTCACAGCATGTTGGTGTTTATGTTAGCGTGCTATCACTTCCTTTATACCCTTTATGTTGGTGTGTATGTTAGCTCTGCTTCTCTTTATCAACATCTTCTATGCTTTATGTTAGCCTGCTCTAGCCCCTCTACATCTTTATGTTGGTGTGTATGTTAGCGTGCTCTAGCTTTCTCTTTATCACCATCTTCTATGTTGGTGTGTATGTTAGCGGGCTCTAGCTTTCTTTGTATTCTATGTGCTGTGCTATGTAGCGTTGCTTATAATCACCCTTACCCTTTATGCTGGTGTATGTTAGCTTGCTGTAGCTTTATCTTTATCACCCATACCCTTTATGCTCGTTTGTATGTTAGCGTTGTATGTTATGCATATGTGTATGTTAGTTTGCACTAGCCTGCTCTATATTACCCTACCATTTGTGCTGGTGTGTGTTGAGTATTCAGCGTTTCTCGTCCTTGCCCTACCCTGAATGCTTGTGTGTAAGAATCAGTGTTCTAGCTATATTTCCATGGCCATACTCACGGTATAGTAGTTATTAACTTGTTCATTGTCTGGATGTGAACGACGTCTCCCTACCCCACCCGTAACCGTAGCCCACCCGCAACACGCCATTGATTGATTATTACGTCTCAACACGAGCAGGTCCTCCATCCAGCTACTACTCCTTCCCTCCGGCTCTCGTCTCCTGTAACTTTTTCATTTCTTTGACTGAAGTTACTGATGTCTCTTCTCCTCTCCTTTTCAGGTTTGTCGTTTGTATTTAAAATGCAAATTGTCAACGCTAGCGCAGAAGTACTCGTGCACACACGCCAGGGACAAAACGCATGTTCTCTCTACCCCTGTGCTGGGTTGATAGTCGGTTTGTCTGGGCTGTCAGTGTTAGCCGAGTCGGGTTCAGTGTTCTACGGGCTGATGGCGGGATTCTTAGACAGGCGATGGTGGCAGGGTAGAAACTGGGAGAATTAAAGTGTTTTCCTTCCAAGTCGAAGTGCATTTGCCTGAGGGGCGAGGAACCAACAGTCTGCTTACAAATAGGCCAGCTCTGTAAAATGAATGTACACGTAAACTAAAGTTCGGGAGTAAGACCAAAGTGCAGAAGTGGTCGAACAACCAGTGCTTTCCGCCGCAGTTTAAAGGCTAGTAAATACTAAGAAGAAGAAATGTCAAATAAAACATAAATAACTAGAGACAGAACATAGGAATGTTTCATGTTTTGTAAAGGTGCCTACCTCTCCTACTACATTCTGGGGAGACCAGTGGAACAACAGTAGGGGTAATTACAGCAGTCGAACCCTGAGTATGTAAGGAGTATGAGAGAGAGAGAGAGAGATTGATACAGCGGTTAGTAGAAGTACCGTGTGCAGAAAGTTCCGTTATCCCATATTTACACAGAATATCTCAATGCTTTGATTTCTTGTTTTTGATCGAAATCAATGCGTTTGTATGTTTCTGTATAATGTCAGCTATAATAAAGATAAGGTGCGCATGTGTTGGTGACACCCTGCTATCACTAGATCTCAATGTGCATGACAGACCAACATGACCTGAAGACATGACACCTTGAGTCTCAATGTTGGGGGCAGAACATCAGGGTAAGCCCAGTCACCGCTGCTCAGCATCTAAGAAATTTATCATTTAACGGGCCACAATCCAAGTACGAGAATTCAAATATCTAGAAACCATATTTACGGAGGATGACACCGCAAATGCTGTCACCTACTAGTTAGCTCCATTGCTTAGACACCCAAATGTCTCCCATCCAGCAAAACAGCAAACGATTAATAGTATCTTTGTCCCTACTTTATGTTATCAGTGTCAGTCATGGACAATAAATGGGGTACAGGAACAGAAAATAACTACATGTGAAATGCACTGTCTCTGCAAGGTCACCAACAACACAAGAAGAGACCGGGTTACGAATACCAGCATTAGAGAGAAAGTTGTAATTAAGACCATGTCTTAATGATTGAAAAATAATGAAACGGTTTAGCCATCTAGTGACAGCAGAACATCTGGGAGGAAGGCGAGAGGAAGACAAAGAAAGAAATAGATGTAGCTGAAACCTGCAAAAAGATGAACAAATACAGAAAACCATGACACTGGGCTTCAACCTAGTATCAGTGAGATGACAAAAGAAGAACAGGCCACACCAGCTCCGCAATCCTATTCCGATAAGGATGATGGTAAAGCTAGTTCCGTCTTAAACAAACCATCTGTTCTGTCTCCACAATGAAGGTTGGCTACAGTGTACTACTGCTGTTGTCTTTGGGGATTTTACAAGATGGGACTCAAATCTCTTGCCCGGTGCCACTCACCTACCATTGTCCGAAATCTACCAGAAAGTTTTTTTTTTTTCTTCTCTAACCGTTCACCGCTTTGAAGAAACCCTAGTATTCGAAAATCATGAAATTGTTACCGTATTCACTAACGTCTAAGCCACGGGGCTATGTAGCTCAGTCCGATCTATTCTGGTTGCTGCGGGGGCTATACAGTTGCACTACCGCCTTATCCCAAACCAGAGAAAGCAAAGTTTGCTGCACTGAGGTTGTGAAACCGGCAAAAGGCACCTCAGCACGAAGAAAGCACCATATACATACACTGCTGACTGGCGTTAGGCCATCATGCTTCTGGCCTCTCCAACAAAATGTATCAGTCCTCATTCTGGTGCAACCCCCTGCCCCATCCCAGTTTTCCAGCATGTCCCTGCATGTTTCTGCTCACAGCCTGATCTAAAAATGTCCAACTACCTCTTTATTATGATTTATGTGATAAATATATATATATATATAAATCAATGTTTGTGTGTTTGTTTATGAGCTATAGACTCGGAAACTACTGAACCGATTTAGCTGAAATTTTCAGGATATGTTTGTTTTGATACCGGATGTTCACCCATCATGGTTTGAAATTCAACCTGTCATTGTTAGAGATAGTGTGCGACAATATTTTAGCTACTGTGGTGGTGGTCGTGGTAGTAGTTGTACTGGTACTTGAAGGATGATGTGGTAAATATTACACTAGCCCCATTCACTACCTATTACAATTCCTGCTCCCCATTTTAGTCCGGATGGACAGGGATGTCAATGTCAGTTACAACAACAACAAAATATCGCCAGGTGATGATTTTCAAATCCTTTGAAGAGGGTGAGAGCAGTAGTCGGTGGAAGAGGGGAGGGGAGATGTGTAATGACCTAAATTTAAGAGAACTTAAGGAGCTTTACACGTGATTTTCAAGTTCTCATTACTTAATTTGTTTATATTTTACTAACGCTACCTCCGCTATTCAATTTTTTTACGACTGACTTTGTTATTTACAAGTACAGCTGTAGCTTTACTTTCGTCTCCTATAAAAATACAAACAGCTTTAGCATGTGATAACCAAATAACTTTTTTTGTTACTGTGCTAATAACACCATTTAAACGACCACTAATATAAAGACACAATTATATGGTGCGTTTTCTAAAGTTGGAAAACCAGACTATCTTTATATCTGTGCAGAGAATAATTGCAACATTAACAAATTAGACACAAGCGATTTCCATTGTCTTTCTTTTCCAAAAACCTTTGATGAGGGAGAGAGTAGTAGGTGGATTTAGTTGTGGTTGGGTGGGGGGGGGGGGGATCAAAGACTATTTCTATATCTGAGCAGACAATGATTTTATTAGACACGTGCGATTTCTATTTTCTTTCATTTCCATTAGCCAAACTATGCCACAGCAACGCATGGCCGGGTACAGCTAGTTGTCTTATATTTCTTGGCCTTGTGTTTCTTGCCCTCCAAACATTAAGTTTTAACGGTAAGTACAGTAAATGACCCTCTTCCACGACTTCATGCGCATTGGGCATGCATAGGGGCTAGACCTATATTTTATAGACCAATCAACTCTCAGTGGGTGATGTAGTCAACATCAGGCCGGCCGTCTTTACTTTCCATATCTTATCTGGTATCATCTGGTATCCTTCTAAGGTCGCTAAAAAAAAAGATTGGCTCAGCACCTGAAACGACCTTGTGATCCGCAGGCGAGCGTCCAGCCGCTACACTTATAAGGAATGTCAGTATTAGTCTGTGAAACAGTTCTGTGGTGGCCTCAGATCCTTGCTGTTTGTTTACATGTTTTCTGCGACTTCCCGTAATATGCTAAAAAAAATTCCACGGAGATACCGGTTAACTCAGATTCAGAAAAGCCTCCTCGAGAATATTTGACGTTATCTTCTTTAAAAAAAAAAAAAAAAAAACTACGTTATAATGTGAAAATATGGGGGTGAAAAAGAATACTGCAGCAAATGACTGGTACAGTATTTTCAGTAAAAGACGAATACTATTGATAAAACAATGAGACATCACTGGATAATTTGTACTCA